ATAAATGTGTATTTGACTATATCTGCATACTCAATCAGCAAAGAAGTCCACGCGATGGCACTGCAGTCCAGGGTGTCTGATAGGCTGGCAGTGCACAGGCAAGGGCGGGGTAGATGATACCATCCCTGGCCTCAGTGAGAGCTCCTTCCTCGCTGGAGTGAGGTGTCTGTACAGTACTAATTGTACGATTTTGAGCAAGTTATTTTTTTGCCTCTAAACGTCAGCTTCCTCCTGTTAAAATTAAGGCATCATATTACCTATCCTGCATGATTGTAGGGATTAAACAGGGTATTACATGTAAAAGAAAAATTACCAACAAATATTAGGTATCGTTATGCAATATAAACTGTTTAATGGTGCTTTGGCTAAAGGTCATGTTCATGATAGAGAAGGACAATTAGTGGCATGTGCAATTAGTGAACTCATTGGCTATTTCAAATGAATAGCTGATTGCTTTTTAGCAAGTTCACTGATAACTTGTTTACAGGTCACCGGGAGATAATAAAGGAAAATGTGTTTGCATTTCAAAGGTATGTTTACTTTTCACAAGTTTACTTTCACGGATATTTGGTATCTGTACCAGTTTTATGTCACTGTGGGTTTTTATTTTATAGTGGCCCATACCGTACAAATAGCTTTCCTTGGCTTCTGAAGAATCTATTAAGCTTCTCCCTAAAAGAGCTTTGTAATACTATTGAGAAAATACAGGGCAGGTAAATGCATACACAGATGGATGGATTGATGGACAGACAGAGGGATGGAAAATACATGTTTGTCTAACTGGTTTATAGATCTCTTTCCCAAATGAATGTAAACTTGAGGGAATTATGTCTCTTCTCCTTTTTGGTTAGGTCTCTGGATTATGCCCTTAAGTTGCTGTAGCTTTATAGTTCCCAGGTCAGTGGAGACAGCACAAGCTTTTTAATGAACTATTTAGAAGAATACCTAGTAATATCTCATTAAAGAACAAATGGAAAGCCCACTAAAGACTATTCCAGAGTAGGACCTCCCTGATGACGCAGGGGTTAAATCTCAGCACTAAGAAGCTGTCTGCAACTACTGCAGCACAAGTTCGATCCCCCGACAGGGAGGTGACCCACATCGCACAGCAGACCTCTCCTGCCTCTCCTGCTTCTCCCCTCAGCAGTGTATTTCAGCCAGTCCTCCTGTTCTGCTCCCCACTCTGTCTTTGGTGAACCTCTCACCTCCTCACACCTCTGGCCTGTACCCCAGCTCTTGTATGCATAAGAAAATAATCTCAAAAAAAAGAAAAAGACTATTCCAGAGCAGTTAAAAGCTAGAATAAAGAAACATATAAGGAAACACAGACCAAGAAAATATTTCTCTTCAATTAAGCAAAACCTACTCTGTACAGGAAGTGAAAAGTAAATCAATCACTTCTGCATGCAGGAAGCCTAGCTGGGTGTGCTAAATAAAGGAGCCAATAATACCCATACTCTCCATAGGGTGCAAAAGGGAAAAAAAGAAACCAAAGAAATAAACTTTGTGGAATGTTTACTTTAGAGTAAGCATTGTGCCACATGCTTTTTATATGTGCAATCTTAATTTTGAAAAGATCCTTTAAGGTCAGCATGGCCCATTTTGCAGATGAGGAATCAGACTCAGAGGACTAAATTAGCCAAGGCCACTCAGTAAATATCTGGCAAAACTAACTTGCATGGGGCAGCAGACATCTCTTGCCTGACCCACTGCTCCCCTCAGCAGTGTACTTCAGTCAATCCACCTGTTCTGTTCCCCACTCTGTCTCTGGTGAATCCTCTCACCCCCTACACCTCTGGCCTGTACCCCACTTCTTGTATGCATAAATTTTTTAAAAAATTTATTAGCCACTTCCTCTTTCCCCTTATAATTTAAAATATCAGTGAAAATATACCTCAAGTCCATTGGCCACATACCATTCAGCAGGCCTAAGATGACCCTTCATGGCAGCCTGGCTTGGAGAGTTGCTGGGCAGTGAGCAGGAGCCTCCCCAGGGCCATGCTACCAATGACAGTGCCAAGGGGCGACTAAGCAAGTCTTCCTGGAGTCACGTGGCATATGCAAGTGTGCCAGAAAAGCTGGACTTCTGTTATTGTCTGTATTGGCACAAAGGAATTCTTCCCACCATGTCCCCTGGGAGGACACGGATAGGTGGGAAGCCAAGGAATGTCTTCAGTCAATGCTCATCACTGCAGGCAGTCAGGCTGGTCTGGCACTGTCCTCCATGAAAGCCACTGGTCCAAAGTCTAGAAGGTTCTTTTTTATTATTATTTGCTTGTTTTCTTTTGTTTTTGCTATACAGCCAGAATGCTGAGGGCAGTTCTGTGCCAGGCCACAGGAAGCAAGCAAGCCCAGGATTTCCCCTGCGGCACCCACTTGCATTTCAACTTGGGGCAAAGTAAAATCTTCCCTAAGACAATTGTTTGGGAACTTCCTGCTGTTTCTTATCTGGAACATATCTTGGACTTAATGCTCACCTGGACAGTCAGAGCTCAGAGCGAACAGGGAGAGTTCGGGAAGCCCAGGGACAGAGGACTTCACTGAGAACTGAACCAACGAGAGAGACAGGCTTCCAGTAAGTACTACTTGGTGTGACTGGTCTGGGTTCTCGGGACTGTGGTGACCTGGGAGCTTAATTGAGCCAATTTGCGGTTATAGGTTGTTTCTTCATAACCTTCTTGGGCTGTATTTTCAGCAAGAAATAGGATCTCTTGGTATCACACTCATCAAATCCCAAGTGACAATGAACAGGTTTGGCAATGACAGTAACTAGGTTCTCCCGAGGGAAATCAAAGGCTTCTTTTGTTTGGGGGCAATGGAAGCAGAACTATCAAAAGATTTAATTCTTCTTTCTTCATGCAAAGTTTTCAGACACCAACTCTAAAGTTAGAACTCTGGCTCTGCTTCTTCTTAACGGTGTGATAAAATTGCTTAACCGCTCTGGTAACTGTTTCCTCATGTCTAAAATGGCTTTTATATGATTGGGAAAATAGAATAAGCTTTACAGTATTGTTATTTGTGTACTTATGAGATAGCGCACCCATGTTATGCTATATATGCATGTGATATCTATAAGATTTCATATGTATGATACATATTACAATTTTGCCTATGTCATATAAGCAACATTTATAAACTAGCTTTCATATTGGTATCTATAACAGATTTCATATATATGTACATATACTGGATTTCATGTATATATAATGTGAAATTCATATAAATACTCTAAAATATATAAGTATGAAATATTACGTGTGTATGAAATCGATTACAAAAATTTCCCTAGAAGTTCCTGAGACTTATTAACTACTCAAAAAATGTTAGTCATTGTTAAACAATCCATAGACTCAGAATATCTGAGCTGAAAATCATCTAACAAGAAATATTTGCGGAGCACCCGTGAGATAGAGAATATTCTTCACCAGAGAATCTCAAGAGATGCTGGCAGCAAGCTGATGGGGGGGGGGGGGTAGGTAATTTATCAGCTTTCACTGTACAGATGAAGAAACGGAGGCACTGGAGGTGCTATAATGTACCTAAGACCACATCTGTCATCATTGATGAAGAGGAAATTCAGTCCAGATTCCTGCCTTAGCACTCTGGATACCACAACCCTCTCCGTCGCCTATCATTCACTTCACGGTGGGTCTGGAAAAGAGGAGGAGTCACTGCATGTGACTTTGGTGCCTTTCCCAGACAGTGGAAGGCCAGATGTGGCTTCCAGAGCACTGGTCCCCATCCACGGAGTGCAGGGGTGAGAGTTGTTGGGCGCTGGCTATGAGCACAGTGTGTTACCAGGCAGGGTCCCGCAGGGAGCCCTGAGTAAGTGCCCTCATTCCCTCTTTTTTTTTTTTGATTATTTATTTATGCATACGAGAACTGGGATACAAGTCAGAGGTGTGGGGGGTGGTGAGAGGATTCACCAGAGATAGAGTGGGAAACAGGACGGGCAGACTGACCAAAGTACACTGCTGAAGGGAGCAGCAGGTGAATCAGGAGAGATCTGCTGCACCATGTGGGTATCCCCCTAGCCAGAGATCAGACTCATGCTGCGGATAGCTTCATAGGTTGCATCTTAACCCCTTGTACCACCCGGGAGGCCCATGCAATTACTCATTTGTGAAACAAGCTACCTCAAAGGACAGTTCTAAGACACCAAAGCAATAATGTATGGAAGCATTGTATAAACTGTAAAGACTTCCTAAATGATTCTTTCATCAAGAAGAAAAAATTTGGCTTTTTAATAAAAAGAGCTGGTGGGAAAGGCACTGCTTTAAAATGTTACCCCACTCAGCAGTCTCCCCTGCAGTGTCTGATGCCTGAGCGTCTTCCCTCACTAGGCAAAATGCCCTACGGGGGTGGGGGGGGGAGCAAATCCCCCATAAGTAGATGCACAGGAGGCTGATGTACTGAAACCCCTGTCCTCACTTCTGCTTCAGGCAGTGAAATCCCTTACATTGGAAAGAACCTTATTGATTTCAGTCCAAGTCTTGGAGGATATTTTTTTTTAATTTTGGAGGTGGGTAAGGTTTTAGGTAGGTTATCTTCCTTTTCCTTGTACAGATTGTTTTTCCTGGGAACACAGAGCTTCCTCGATGACCTGGCACCTTTCCCAGACTTTACAACTTGCACAGAAATTAATGTGCCCTTCCCACAGAGGAGTGCCAAATATGTCATTCTCCAAGCCCCAGAAAGGGCTTATTTGCTGTTTTATTTGTCATTTATGTATTTGTTCAAACCATCCCCTTTGTTTTTATACAGGAATACTTCAATAGAACAAGCTTTTCCCCCATCAGGAAAGGTGTAGTGTAGGGTCCCGGAAGTCCTCACCTATCTTCAAATAGTTCCAGGTGCTCTGACAAATGCAGAAAGTATGTTTATAGAACTTGAGATCTTCACCTTAAGACTTTCTTCTTTGTTACAAATGTCTATGATTGAAGAATTGCTGTGAAGCAAGCTTGTGTTAAGAAGGCTGGGAAAAGGCAGACAGGCGGGGCATGGTCATTCTGGAAGGGCGGGACTCATCCAGCCCATTGGCGGAGTGGATGGTGAAGCGCCCTGTGCCTCCTCGAGTTTTACAAGGCTGTCCTGGCACTGCCCTGTCTGGTGATTCTTTCTACTTTGAGAGTCTCACTAATTCAAGGTAAAAACTGGTCACACACACACATCCCTGGTTTCAAAGAGCTCACCTGCCTTGCAGCCCTTTATCCGACAGGATTTCCCCACAATACTTATCCCAGAACCCGTGTTGGCCACAGCATGGCTGGCAGAGCTGTCCAGGGAGAACGCCTCCTCTCAGATCAGCTTCCATTGTCAACCTCAGTCCCCAGAGTTGCAGCCTTGGCGTGGGCCCCTGAGGTGGTCTTTGCCTTTAGGATTCCCTCTGGAGAAAGCAAGTCCTTGCGTGGACAACGGCTTGTCTTCAGCTCCTGTGGGCCAGAAAGTCTTTCTCAGCTGGGTGGGATCCATAGCTTCCTCTCCCTGTTCTGGTGTGGCTCTGGTGTCTCCCCTCCTTGGTGTGGCTTCCCCCAGGAGCCTCTTGTCACAGTCACTTCCAGAGCAGGAGCAGAGGCAGGTCCCCCAGTCATCCTGGCCAAACAAACCTCCACAGAACTGCAACCAGATGAGCACCAGAGACTTGCATACAACCCACACAGGAAGGTAGTGTGGCCACCATCTGCCTCGGGACAAAGTAGCTAATGGCATCCTCACATTCCCCGTGGTAGCAACCAGCCAGTGGAGCTCGCTGCTGTTTGGGGACTAACGAACATTTAATCCTTCTTTTTGGCAGGTGAGAACAGACGACCATAATGGAATTCAGTCCTCAGAAGAGTCCAGGTAACCAAGGGGCAGACTCTCCAGAGGGAAAAACATTTTATTGACAATGATGAGCAGTTCCCATCATGCTAAGCACAAGATGGTTTCAGTGGTATTAGCTGGCATTCTGGGACGATGATTCCTGGTGTGGAGAATGTAGCAGAGGTTATTGGATTCAGTTCATTGTTTTGTAAGCACTCACTTAACTAGAAATTTGTCATTTTCTGATTTGCATAGACCAAATATTCCATATGTTGCTTGGAGGTAGTGCTAACAACAAACTATGGCCCACACCAGACTAGAAAATATTGTTTTAATGTTATATAAAATTGTTGCTTGGAGAAACTGCCTAAGTTGTTAGGATTTATTATGGGTTTAGCTCAAGATTTATTGCACCTATTATTAGTAAGTCACTATGCCTCACATTGCAGAGAAAAATACCAGTTAATTAGTGAGTCATTGCTCTCAATCAATTTCTACTTTCATTGGCAAGTGAAGATAAATACACGCAAGTAACTATGTTGGGAAGTTAAGATAAGCACACGCCATCAGACAGGAACCTGAAGTAAGGCAAAATTCCATGGAGTCTGAAGAAGAAAAAGTATACAAATAGTTAACGGAATCCAGAGAGGTTTTATGGGGAAGGCTTCTGAGCTGGACCCTAAAGAATATGTAGGGATTTAAAGAAGACTGGAAAAGAGACCATATCTCAATAAAAGAGATGGCATGAGCAAAAAACAATATAGAAAAATCAAAAGCATCTATAATTTCTACACTTAGAGCGAAGCCGTGAATATTTTAGTGTGCTACTTTTGCCAGCTCATTCTCAGCAGTAGGTGGTTTTGGTTTTGTTTGCTCAGCCAAAGGGCAAAGCAGAATTATCTTGTTCCTACGTCTGGTGCTTCAGTGGTAACAGAGACAAATCTTTGTTCACATCTGGAGAGCCAAGGATGTGCTCCAGAAAGAGGTCCAGACAGGTGTCAGCTGAATGAACGCCCCAGCTGGAGGTGAATAAGAATCACAAGCTTGGTCTTTTGGATCCTTTCTTTTCCAGGCCTATTATCAATGTTCTTTCCCATAACTGAATAATTTGAAGACCTTTCCAGAGATAAACAGTGTTTTTCATCTGAAGCAGTTCTTTTGAGAAATTTACAGAGAATAGACTGAGTCCTGTTCACTTTCTTTTATTAGGCAAAAGTTAGCATGTTCTTATAAAAATGAAGTCTGCAAACAAGATTTCTTTGTTAAATCACCACCTCCTCAGCTTTTCTTCTCTGCAGTAAGTATTCACTACCATTTCACCGGCCTCCCACTAGCCTCATGAGCATGTTTGAAATCCTCTCTCATCCTTTGAGATTTAACTGAGAGGCACATGTTTTTGTTTTTCAGGCCTCTTGGAAAAGGAGGTTTTTCATTCTGTCCAAGAGTGGGAGGAGCTATCGTCTTTCCTATTACAAAGACCATCAGCATCGTGGCTCCATTGAAATTGATCGGTGTGTATTCAATGGAGAAAACCTTTATAGCAACAAATACTAATGTTATAGAGCAGCCCCGATATTGAACGGGTTGCCTGGCTGTGGGTCCTCACCCGTGTGCTTAAAAGGGACTTATGAATACTCCACTGCAGGCACACACAAAAGGTTAATAAAAGGTTTATTTACAAGGGAAAAGGAAATAAGGAAAATATACAACTCAGGGAGAAAATAGGGAAATAAAGTCTTTAATGCGTCCTACCCGATCCTACGACTTGGAAACCCAAAGTCACTCTCAGAGCTGGCCAGACGCTGCGAGCTGGCGGAAAGCCAAAATGGGGATCCCCCAAAGCCCACGTGTCTGCCTTTTATATCCACCTGGCTGCTTAACTCCACCCTCAGGTCCCAGCCACCTTCCCTTTGGTGGGGATGGGATTTGGAGTTCCCAGTGTCTTTGGCTTTGGCCTGGGTGGGGGTGGAGTCCACAAAGCCTGTATGGAATTAGCCTTAGGACATCCTTTTCCCCCTAACAATTACCCCCTTTCACTTCTTTTTCCCCCTAACACTAATGTTAGGGGGAAATGATGTCCTGAGTTAATCCCATACAGGCTTTATGGACCCCACCCCCTCTCCAGACTAAAGCCATCAAGACATTGGGAAAGACAAATCCCGTCACCACCAAGGGAGGGTGGCTGGGACCTGAGGGTGGAGTTGGGTAGCCAGGTTGGATATAAAAACCAAACACGTGGGCCTTGGGCTCTCTCTGGCTCGCGATCGCTCGCCTCCTGGCTTCACGGCTCCTGGCTGGCGGCCAACTCTGAGAGCGCCATTTTGGGATTCCTGATCGGTGGATCGGGTAGGACTCATTTAAAACTTTGTCTCCCACTTTTCTCCCAGAGCTGTACATTTCCTCATTTCCCCTTCCCTTATAAATAAACCTTTTACTAACCTTTCACGTGTGCCTGCAGTAGAGCATTGATAGTCCTTTTAAGCGCGCGGGTGAGGACCCACAGTCAGGCACCCCGTTTTGTATCGGGGTTGCTCTACAACACTAACACACCAAATATTAACAAGTTACATACAAATTGAACTTTAAATCATCGACAAAAGAGATAAGGACTTCACACTTAGTGTTTATTGTTAAAAAAAAGCTAAAATAGGACCTCCCTGGTGGCACAGCGGTTGAGCTCCAGGTTACGAAGCTGCCGGCAGCCTCTGCAGTGCCGGTTGGATCCCCGGCCACTGGATGAGGGTCCCTCATGGCTCACAGACCTCTCCTGCTGCCCGCTGCTCCCCTCAGCAGTGTATTTCGTCACTCTGCCTGCTCTGCTCTCCCCTCTGGCTCTGGTGAATTCTCTCACCCTCCCGCGCTTCTGACTGTACCCAGTGCTTGTATAAATAAATAAATAAATCTTTAAAAAAAAAAAAAAGAGAAGAAGCTAAAATAGGGAACATTTTGAGTAAAACATAGTGAAATACTCATTTCATATTGTATAGGATAGTCAATAATTTGTTGTAGGCATTCAGTTATCAAGGACTTTAGCTCATTTAATTTATAGATGAGAGAATAGATGGACTTATCTCATAAAGATAACAGATTAAAAAAAAAAATCTATGTTGGCTTTGTTGGTCTTTAAGAAATGAATTAAAAAAAATTGGAAAACACAATTTGTGAAACCAAGAATCCAACTGAAATAGGAACTATGGATTTAAACTTTAGGCTCAAACAAGATTTTCAATCAATGACAAACCAGATCTAAATTTATTTTCTAAAATGATTGAATAGTCTTCCAAACAAATGAAAGGGAACTGCTAAGAAAAAGAAATCTTTCCCTGTTAAAGAGTCATAGACCTGGAAATATAAAGTAAATAATAAGTTTGCTTCCTTAATAAGCATATCTAAACAAGGTCTGGCAGCCTGCTAGGCTGATTGATCTCCCAGGCCATCCTGGAAGATCTGTATCCTTCCCCTTTTCCTGGGTCAAGAATTTGCATGTTAACTAACCAACTTTATCAATGTAAAGTGGTTGTGTATAAAAGAAACTCTTTGTCTCTAGACCAGGGCTCAGACCTTATGGGACTACCCAGGTCTGAGACCTCATGCATAAGTAATAAAGCTTTTCTGGCCTCACCATTCCTAAAGGACCACTTGTTCTTCCCCTGCATGGGTAAAAGGCTAGAATTTATTTCTGCAACACAATGACCAAGCAGATCCAAATTTCTGTTCAATTGAGTCCTAATATAAAGCATTCACTTTCTTCCTAATTTTATATCTGTCTCTATTTAATACTGCATGTCTGTACCCAACAGAAATTCCACTGCAGAAGTTGGCATAAGAAGTCAGGAAAAATTGGAAGCTGTACAGAAGATGTTTAGTTGCCAGCCTGCAGAGGTGATGTCCATTAGAACCGCTCAGAGGGAATATTTCCTCATTGGCTATGACAGGTGAGCAGTAAGAAGACATGGTGTGCTTCCTTTGTACAAAATGACATACAAACAAGCAAAACCAAAAAAAAAAAAAAAAAAAAAAAACAAACCATTTAAACCAGTATTACCAAGCCCATGAACACCATCTTGGCAGTCTTCATTATTTGCTAAAACACCTTCAAAAGTCACAGTATGGATTTCCTGGGCTGCCATAGCAAAGTATGGCATATGGGGCGACTTAGAAGAGCAGATTGTGTTGCATCACAGTTCTGCAAGCCAGAAGTCCAAAATCAAGGCCAGGCTCCCCCTGAAGGTGCCAAAGAAGTTCTGCTCCAGGCCTCTGTCCTAGCTCTGGTGGTTCCAGGGCTGGTGGCAGACTCAATCCCGTCTTCCCTTGGCATTCTCCCTGTGTGCATGTCTCTGCACCCAAATTTGCCCTTTTAATAAAGGTCCTATCGGATTAAGAATCTACCCTGCTCCAGTATGACTCCATTTTAACTAATTACATTTGCAATAACCCAAGCCCATCTCCAAATAAGGTCACATTCTTTGGTACTGGGAGTTAGACTTTAACATACGAATGGGAAAAGGCCCTCAGCTCAACTCCTAAGGGTCACCATCCCCAGAAGCATCCCACATGAGAGAATCCAAGCATCTGCAGAGCTATGAGTATGGGTATTGTGCATCCCTGAAGGGGTCTCCAGATTGTAAAGTGGTCCTGGTGCTAGCAAAGCTGTCAGGGTATTGTCTTTACACAAGATAATCTGCTTGGCAGGGAGGCTGGCGGCTGGAGGGGGTGGGCGAGGGCACTTTGGAGAGGAGGTAATAAATGTGAAAGCCAAAATATGAGGAGCCTGGATCTGCTTCAGACCAATCCAAAGGCCAAAAGCTTCCTTTTAAATTGTCATGACTGTCAACAGACAAGATTTATATAAATTTGTTCAAACCCACTCTCACCACCACATGCACTCCCTAAAGGGAGGCGCCTCCAGGCAGCCACACAAAAATGGCGCTGACAGGTTAAGGGGCTCACTTGAGGCCACAAAAGAAATCAGTGTCAAAGCCCAAAGTTCCGAGACCTGTGATTACCACTGTTATTTTCTACCTTTCTTCCCCTTTCTCTGTGCCTGCCTCACAGAAGTGGCAGGAGGGTTAATTCCAGTGTGTGGATGTGGAGGTGGTGAGGAGCTAGTGGGTCATTTGAACTACTTAGGGAAAAAAACCTATTTCCCTGCTCCCAGCTCCCACTGCCTGTTCCAACCTTAATAAAAGAATCCCTCTCTGGATCAAAAGGAGTGAGGGTGCTATTGTTACCACATGCCAGCTGAAAGTTTATTCCTGTCAACAGGGAGAAGATTAAAGACTGGGTCTCCCTCATCTCGTCATTTTGCTGGGCTTTAAAAGCAGCACACTGGAATCCAGAGGTGACTGTCTCACTAATAAAATAGCAGGGCACCTGAACACAGCCCTCTGACACAGGGAAACAATGCAAGCTTATTTTTCTTCCTTAGCAACTGGCATTCATACCAGGAATAAATAAGTGAGAAAATGGATGTCTTTGTTATTTTTATGATTAATAATAGGAAAAAATACTTCCGTGTTTTGCAAGAGAGTTAAAATACAGATACTTCAGAGTTTCATTATTGGGTAGGAAGAGTGAAAGTGGCATTTTTTAAATGGTAGCTGAAACTATAGTATTATCCACCATTGTTATTCAAGGTACGGAACAGCTACCTTTTGGTAGCTGAGTGGTTTCTCCACAAGTGCCTTTCATCTCTCATACTCTTGCTAGTAGTTTTAGGTTTTCTATTTATTTCCTAAGGACCTTTGCTAATTTACACAAATCTTAAGACCTTTATAAATGAAATGCCAGTCTCTAGGTATTATTTTGACAAAATTTCTAGTTTGTTCAATGTTTACAACAAACGTATAGTTCAAAGAGAAGAGAACAAGGTAAGTCTACAAGTAGACTGAAGTGATTAGAGCTAACGATTAGCTCATAGGGAGATTGGGTGAAGCTGAGGGCATCTAGAGAGCCAGATGAGAGTCTTGCTGGGGGGGGGGGGGGGAGAGGGAGAGAGAGAGAGAGAGATCAACTCGTGTTTTAGTGAGAATGTTGGTCATGAAAGACAGAAGGCATGGAGCTCAGTGACTACAGTTGCTTCATTCCAGACAATAGATCAACCATGCCTGATTCCAGTCTTCTTTCCTCTTCTTTCCTTATAAGCTGGAGAAACTCTCACTGTATGATAAAATGTGCACTTCAGACCCTAGCGCTCTCCTCAGTCCTCCCAGCACACCAGAAGTTGCCAGCGCCTTCTCACCACGAAATAATCTTCCAGACATGGTAATCAGACTCCCCTCATTCTCTCAGGACATCACGCCTGGGAGTCAGCTAAGCTGCAAAAAGTCTTAGCAATGCACTCGAGATCTTTCTGAAAGTTTATCCCACTCTAAAAATGATTCTTAACTTCAGTCATTGTCTTCTGTTTAATCTGTTCCCCAAACCACGGGTGGGCCTTAGCACTTGCCCTGACTACTTCTACACAAGATTGTTCAGTTTGGATGCTACCTTGCATCATCTATGTATGCTGGGTATAGAGTCCCCCAGGTGAACAAAAGCCAGGTAAGCAGCCTTTTCCTTTCTTTCACAGACAGGACACAGTTCCCTCAGAACAGAGACTTCCAAAATCACACTTGATTTCCTGCCATACCAGTTGACTCCTCAGGCCAAGGCAGGGATCTTAATTTCCTGCTTTTACTCAAATCAGTTTTGTGGGTCCATGACTTCAGACTTCATCTTCATTTCTAGTGAAGTCCATCTAAGGAAGGAAAATACAATACCTTTGCCCTTGAAAGTGAGTGGTAATAGTACTCCCAGCCTTTCAACTCTTAGATTTACAAACCTTCAAACTCTGATGTTATTAATACCTGAGCTGAGTGTTTTTTCTCCTGCCATAGAAATTGTTTTGTCCCTTAGAGATGTAACCACTGAATTTCCCTCTCCCTGGGTGTAACACACACCTAAATATGGCAGAGCCTTTGGTTTTATCCAGTTGGGAACTCTCCAGTGATTTAAAAGGCTTTTGGTAGCATATCAAACAGGCTGGGCCCAGCACCTCATATAGTGTCTGTAGGAGAGATAGCAAGAAGCAGGTCAGGGAAGACTAACTGAGGTCAGTAAATGCCTCTTGCTTTTCACTTATGACACCCCTTTACTCCCCACATGTAAGTTATTGGTTGTCTTGTGTTTGTATACTATGTATTACATTCCAGTGATTATTCAGTAAACTCCAGTTAAGAGTGCATTTGCCTTTGGGTTTTGTTTTTGTCCTGGTTATTGAAATTAAGTGGGAACATTTCTTCATTCATAAAAGCCAAGATCTGCCTCCATGAGCTTGCAGCACAACCTAAGTTCTTCTATTTTTTTTTTTTTTTAAATCACTTTCCTCCAAGGACTTCCTAAAGAATGTTTGGGGTCTTTGCAAAGCACTTTGCTCTAAGGCATTATTCTTGGAGGGGTTAAACTGTATTTTTGATAATTTTCCTGCCATGCAAAGCAACAACTTTAGTAAATTATCTTGTACCTGTTGGTTGACCCTAGAGCACCTTGAAGCCTATAATTCATCCCATCATATGGTCAATGCCTCCCAATTTCATGGTTACAGAAACAATAGAAAAATGTGACCAGAACACAAAAGGGAAATATCGAGCAGGAGGAGGAAAGGTATGGTGCCTGAAAGCTCATGGAGCCAATGCAGTGCCTTGACACTTCATTCTTGGGCTAATTACCTTTTCAAATGACGGGGCAGGGGGGTGTTCCATGACAGAGCTTAACAACTTCAGTACCCCCCATCAGAGGGAACCACTTGTTCTGAGTTCCAGGTCCCAATGGTGGAGAAATGCCTAAAAGATGGGCTTATAGATTTACATCAGTAGTTGCTGAGATTCACGAGGCAAGTTTAAGGTGGTTTGGGGGTTACCTTGAGAGATCGTTTTATCTTCTCAACCCAGTTAACCTATAATGGCTTTTCCAGGAAGCATATGGTTTAATTTCCTATCTCACAAAGAAAAAGCATTAATTTTATCTTCATTACTTTCTTTTTTGGTAGCCTTTATTGAAAGTAACTTCTCCAGGATTCAGACAAGGTGTTCTACCACATGATTTCTCATCGGAGACTACTCAAGATAGAAAAGAAGAAAGTCATTATATTAGTCCTCAAAGTGTTCTTTTAGAGGTAACCACTTCCACTCATTAAACATTCACTTTCTTTACAAATATTTACTGAGCCCTTCCTATGAACTACTTCTGAGACACTAGCTGGACTCATGGGACATGGAGGTGAATCAGACACAGGTGATATGCTCCAAGTGTTGACACTTGAATATGTCTCAACCAAGACAAAAGACAGAAAGGACTCCCAGCTAAAGACAGATGCTTTTGAAATATCTGGAGTGCATGAAGGGCAGGAGGTGGGGAACTGAGTTTCAAGCAGAAGACAAAGATAACATTTAATGGTATTTGAAAGGTAAAATTTGGACTTAGGGGAACTTTCTGCATTTTGGGCAGAAAGCATAATATGAACAAAAGTCTGTGGGTGATGAACTGTGTGATGTGTGTCAGCCAGTTAATCAGTGTGGAAGTTACTACTGAGCGCTTTCTGTATACTGGGCACTGGACTGTGTGCTATCACTTAGGCCTAGCCGCCACCATTGAGGATCTGCCATTGCTGATGCCCTCAGCAATGCCTGCTGATGCCCTCAGGTCTCATTTGTTACCACATGGGATGCTACTCAGAAAGCTCTAGAAGCAACAACAAAAGGACAGATTTTCTCTCTCCATGGAATCAGGGCTTTAGAGACAAAATAGCATTTGATATGTATTTGGTGAATAGTTCATTTTGGCTGTAATCTAAAGTAAATGTCATAGTGGGAAATAAGACAGAAAAGAGCCAGACCATGGCGGGTCTTGAGTGCCATGGTGACTTCATTCTGTAGGCAGCACAGAGACTGTAATGGCTTCCAAGTTGGGAAGTGGCAAAAATTGAATAATCTTCCAGGCACTAGTAGCCCAGTAGCTATATTTAAAGTGGACAGTAGAGAAAAGTAAATGAAAGGAAAACAAATTAGGAGGCTGCAAAATTTCCTAATTGGGATGAGAGAATAAGATGATGACATGTGTTCATACAAAAGAAGTATTCTGGGTTCAAACATGTTCTGGAAACTTCAATTAAAATATCTTACACCAGCTTCTCAGTGCAAAATTCTCAGGGCCTTTACTTAGTATGCAGTGGTGTGTTATTAACAGCCAAGTGGGATTCAACACACACTTCACAAGCTTATTTGACCACAAGACCCTTCTTTCACCAAAATATATTTTCATGCTGGTATTCTCTGGACACAGTGATGGTAACTAGTCTCTTACAATAGTCCAACTAACCAGTCAGGTTGTTTTGGGCCTTTGTTGTAAGTCTGGCATTTGCTAGGTGTTTTATGAGAGGTGAGGTCTAGTGAAGCAGATAAAACCAGGCAAAAGACTAAACATTTAAGCACAACACAGTGTAGCAGAAGCGCAGAGATTGGTGTTGGTGAGTACTCAGCGGAGGCCGTGGGACATCAGCCAGACCTGAACACAACTGCATGAGGCAAAAAAGGGTCACTCCAGCTGGGACGTGGGCACTGCAGAATGACTGTTCGTAGGGGGAGTTGTGGGAGGACTGGCTTGGTTGGAATGAAATGTTCCAATTATGGGTTAACGATTAATTTGTTGGCTAGGCAATAAAAAGTCCTTGGGTTTTTGAGCAACATTGCCCCAAATGACAGTCATAGTTCTAAGCAGCTAGTTGAGAGCCTCCTGAAAGCAGCATTTTTCTAGGACCCTGACAACCCCCTGAAGCAAATTGGACTGCCATGCTGTGGCTGAGCCTTTGACCAGCCTGGTGACATTATTCTAGAGTAGCACTGTTTGAAAAAGAGAGAAAAAAACCAGTTCAAGTCATGAAGTGCTTAGTGATAAAATAGAAAAATAAATAGTTTGCCCAATACAATGCTTGTGTCAGGAGTCCAGGGAATCTAGAAGAAAATGAAAAAGTTATGAGAAGTTTTATGGTTCAACCTCCCAGAAAGAGCATCACTGCCCATCCCATTTGATGGTGAATGTTATTACTTCAGGGCACAGAACTTCACGTAAGGGGTAAAAAAGTACCTGATTTATTGGAAGACTTGATTCCTCATGTTTATTTCTTCTATCTACAGTTGGATAAGATTATTGCTGCCAATGATTCTAGTGATTCCGTTGAATCTGGGATGCCACACAAGGTCACCAAGAGAACTGAGTGGACATACATGTCCATGAAATCTTGGTATGTAAAATTGCCTTATTTTAACAACCTATTGTAGCTGATGCACTGTTAAAGAACAGTTGCTGCCAATTCATTTAAACAGTTGGTATAGAAATACAAAAGTTACCATCAACAAAATTAACACCTTACTCAGTAATCTCAAAAATTGGGGATGGCCTCTCCATCCACAGAAAATCATTAGTGACATTTTGTGTTTCCTGATATTTTCTGTTTTTCATTTATTTCTCACACTATCACTGCTGTCCTCCAAACCATCTTCATATAAAAGGTGATTTTGATTCCAGATCGATTTTTAGAAGGAAATTGTGTTGTATTGGAGTCTAGGTGTGACAGCCTTCCTGACAGCTGGACAAACTTCAAGGCCCACTTAGTGTCCACATGGCCACTGGCTACTTATATCTGGAGCATATAAGTATACATACAATACCACCGTGGAGCATTGTAAATAGATTATACTAAAAGGGTTTGTTTTCACTTCTTATACCCTAGTTTTGCCATGTCCTATGTGCCTGCTGATAGCAAAGGAGAATCCCAGACCCTTCCAGAGACCCAGAATAAGGGGCTTCATCCACAAGAACAAGGCTCAGGAAGTGACTTGTGTCTGTCACCTGCTGGTACCACACGCAACAAGGAGCCCACCTCACTCACTGTTCTGCAATTGACCATATTGCTCAAGTAAAGTTCTAATTTCTAAAACTTTATGGGCCCTGACAGCAAAGTAGCCTTCCTTTTCTGTTGAGAATTCAAATTTTTAAAGAAGTTCCTAAAAATCTCTAAGCCGGCCAAGAATCTGACCAGCTTCCACCTCTCCTGGAGGTGATAGCCAAGGTCAGTGAATAACACAGCAGTCCCCTGGGCTGGAGGTGGCATTTTCAAGTAAACTGTTTTTAATTCTCCCTCGGCTAGTCTTTCAGATCCTGAAACTTGAGGTGCCTCTGATCTGGGCAGTATGTCACCCATCTTTTACCATTGGCATAATTATGGAAGTGCAAGTAGAGCCAAGTTTGGTCAGAGGCTCATAGGGGGATGTTCAGGTTTTAAGTAATGCCAAACATATTTAATGACATTGTCTCAAATTTAACTCTTTTTTGTGTCTTTTATAGAATGGTTTCCAGCAGAGAAATGTACAAATCAAATGCTCATAGCCTGTCCAATTTAGTCCACTTTGACTCCTCCTTGTCTACTATAGAGGTTGGGAGGGGGCGTGAATAAATATTTTCCAGTATCTTAAACTTATCTTCTTCTCCAAACATTGTGGATGGTCTTTAACTGGAAAAATGCCATCTCCAATGTCAGAGGCCACAGCATACTTAGAAAGAACAGTTCAGAGTCAAGGACAGTTGCCTGATATGACTTTTACATACATCTTATCTCATAGTAACATTTCTGATGAAAGCCAAGTGGAGAAATTGAATGTGTTCCTCTCTCCTCCTGACATCACAAATTATCTTGCTCTCACAGCAGCTGCAGGACGGATATGGTAGGTGGGAGATTTGAGGGTTATTGGTTATACACGGGGTTGGAAGATATGAAGAAAACAATAATTAGATCTTGAATCACTGTGTGAGGCAAAACTGACCTAAGAGCTTGAACTGTTGTGTCGCTTTGATTGAGGCAAAGATGAGCATGCCATTGTGTGGAAGAGTCAGATGGGAGGTGGGTGGATTTCAGAGGATCCGAAAGCAACGCGTTTCTGATTTCTCCAAGGTGAAGGAAAGGGAGGAGGAGTCTGTAGGCTTCAAGGAAATCAGTGCCAATTAGTGCACAATGAACAATTGATGGCCAAAGGAAGATAATGAAGTATCAGAGGTCGAAAATAACAAGGCCTTCCAGGCCCAAGACTTCCAGAGGCCAGCTGAAGATCTTCCCATCAGGGATTCAGAGGCAAAAGACTCTGTGGCAGAGAATTTTCTTGAAATGATCCCTAGTTCTTGATTTCTACATTCCTTTAAAGACTTTACAATTCACTTGGATGAGAGATTTGTTTTACAAGGGAAGAAAACCCTCCAATATGAAATAACTGTCACATACCAATTGTCTTATTCGTTCTAGAAGAAGGCCCACACAAAACCAAGCATTATCCAAATTTCTCACAATCTGTAAATCAATACATACTTAATTGAAAGTGTAGATTTTTCTGAGCCCATGCTTGCTCATTCATTTATTCATTCGTTTGTTTGCTTATTAGATATTGTGTAACCATTATGTGCTTAATTTCCATAGATCCTTATTGAGCATCTTCTGTTTACTTAGTCATGGGGTTATGAAAAAAATACTCTTAATGGTGAGATGATATTTTCAGGACCACATAGGCTAGTGAAAAATACTGCCACATAAACATGTGAATTTAAGAGGCATCTTATTTAAATATGCAATAAATGAGGTGCTTGCCCAGTGTAGTAGAAGCCCTGGGGACAGGGGAGGTTGAGTAAGATCATGGGCATGAAAAGCAGGATGACTTGGCAGTGGTAGTTTGATTGGAGCTGGGCTTAGGAGGAAGACTCAGCAGTGATAGAGGAAAGAATATTCTAGAGTTTGTCTACTTTGGATGTGATGCAACATAGCTAAAGAAACTGGTGATGGTAACAGAGAAAGAGACCAGAGGGTACAGTCCCACTGCGACACCATCTGTCCTCCACCCCAGCAAGCAGTCTCACCTCATGTTGATGCTGTGTTCCCATTGCAGTGTGGCTCACTGGAAAGGCCCCCTGCACCTGGGGTGCTTATTTTGTCATGGAGATCACCTTCTGGCTGTGAATGACCTGAAACCCCAGAGCCTGGAGGAGGTCTCCTTGTTTCTCAGCCGGACCATCCAGAAGGAGGTGAGTCCTGCTGGCTGGCCAAGGCAAAGTCAGAGGCAGGACACAACAAGATTAAGGTGGTAGAGTCTGAACAGTACTCGAAGATAAAGGAGACTCATTCCTCAGCCCCCAAGGGTGAACAAAAGAATAAGTGTAGTAATGTTTTACACAATAAGTACAAATAACAGGATGCTATTTTAGAACTCCTTCAAAGTTCTTTCCTAGACCAACAGAGAGCGCACTGGTCGAGGAGAGATAACATCTGTATTTGGAAATGCAAATATGACGTGGTATCACAGAATGAGTTGCAATTGAATCAGACCAGCTCAGGGTTTATATTCTCCTCCTTTAACCAATTTGTGTCTCAGTTTCTCTTCTGTAAAATTAGGAGTGATTATAACACTTGTTGTTGGAGAATTAAATGAGATAATATATGCAGTATGCCTGTAATGATGACTGGCACATATTAGAAACTTAATATGGTTACTATAATTTTTACTTCTACTACTGGGGAATAGTGGATAGGATCCCTCTTTTAATCTTCAGTTTCCTCATCTCAGTGGTCGAGACAGCCAGATCTTCACCAGAGTAATCAGAAGAAACAGAACATGCGTGTGTACTGAATACCTTTTAAAGACCTAGTCGTGGGTCTCCCCATTAGTATGGTCTCCATATTGTTGATGGCTTCCCTGGTCTGTTTTTGTTTGTAATTAGCCCACATGACCTTGGAAAATCACTTTCTTCTCTGGAATTTAGCTTTTTCTTGCTAAAGTAAGAGAGATGGCTTTCAAACTGGGCTTCTTGAACAGGGAGGGAAGTGGGTGGGGACAGTGTATCAGGAGATGGTTAACTCTCCTTGAAGGAAATATCCTTGGCTTAAAATTTGTGAAAACCACTGTATTAGATGATCTCCCAAGCTTCTTTATGATTATGCATATCCAGTCTCTTCTGCATCACACAATCACATTATCAGTTACACACATTGTAACATCCCTGTTATCTAAATGGGGAAGGCCAGTGGGGTGAATGAGTCATCTCATAGAAATTCATCTTCCACCTGATTGTACAAGTCACCCCCTGATTCCTCAGGCCCATATACTGACTGTAGTTTTTCACAGGATTTTTTTTCAAAGCCAGCTTCAAGACTTGTGAAAGAGGACAGATTGAGAACAAACAATCCTAACCATAATCTCAGTCATTCCTTGTTGTGTTTTAGAAAGTAAAACTCACCATTGGCCGAATCCCAAATTCAGAGAAATTCCATGCTACACACTGTGCATGCCAAGGTATAGTACCTTTTCGAGTGGACAAGGCTGAACTGGAGAAAGTCCTGAGGAGGAGAGCAGCCATTAAAAAGGGTCCTCAGAAGCAGAACTACACGCCGGAACCCACTGCAGCCCAGTGAGGATGGCGTGGACTCCAGAACGCCTTGGGACCTCCCTGCTGTGACATGAGGCCAGTCTGCACAGCCCTCTGAAGCTGCATAACTGCTTCATGACAATGGGGTAACCTTCCCTTCTCTGGCTACCGCATCTGGGATATTCAGAAGGCAAGGTGTGACCATGACTAGAGAACACAGTGAAGACACCAAGAAGAATCTCAGACTTTGTCCCAAACACAGACAGAGACTGACTAGGCAGTCATCCAGAACATACTGTGTATTCTGTAAAGTCACGGTCCCCACAATCCCGTCTTTGTTAGGGGACTACAGTTGGAAATACTCATTTCAGGAAAGCAAGATTCCCGAGAGAGAGATGTGTCACATCAGCCTTCCCAAACACCTCCTGCTATGCATCACGCCTGTACCCAGAATGCTGAGACAGAGTGGCCTCTTGGAAGTTGATAATCATCTTGTTTTCTTAAAGACCCCGTGAAAGAGCTGCTTTCCCTGTAAGTAATAAGAGAACTACTGGGGCCTCCCTGGTGGCACAAAATGTTAAGCACCTCACTATGAAACAATCTGAAGCCTCTGTAGCATGAGTTCAATCCCTGGCCGGCCAGGGAGCAACCCACATGGCGCAGTAGACCTCTCCTGTCTCACCTGCTCCTCCCCTCAGCAGTGTGTTTCAGTCTGCCTTTTCTGTTCCCCACTCTGCCTCTGGTGAATCCTCTCACCCTCCACATCTCTGGCCTGTACCCCAGCTCTTATATGCATAAATTAAATCATAAAAAAAAAATAAGAGAATTGCTTCACCCATCTACATTGGAAAGGTCTTTTCTCATTGATGCAGTAACTAATCCTGGAAGGTCAAAAGAAGGAAATCTTTTTTTCATAAATAGAGAAAGAAACAGAGCTACAGAACTGATGAAATTGGGGAATTTTTGAGAAAAGGGGCCTTCAGAAAATACATTTTAAGATTTTGTCATTTTACATGGGAAGAAATCAAGGCCACGAACCAATGGATAATATACTTTCTTTCTGGCTCCTGGTTCCACAGTGGCTTAGTGGCAGAACCAAAAATTTAAACCCAGCTCTGAGGAACAGATGTTCTGATCCCCACTTCATGTTTGGATTTAAATTTGGAAAGACCTTCAGCACTTTGAAGAGACATTCAAATACAGTTTCTTTTCTGTCATCCAGATTGTACAGAAGGTATAAAATTTTTCATTTACATGCCCTGTTTGACCTATTTCTACTTCTAGAAATTTCTTCTATAGAAATACTCACACAAGTACAAAATGGTATCGTAAAACAATGTTCACTGCAGCCTGTTTGTAATAATAATAAAAAGGTCCTCTGAGGATGCTGAATTATGATGACTCCATGTAATTAAGCCTGCAGATGTTACAGGTTCTGGATGCCTGTTATAGATGTTCACAATATAGTAAGAACGAAGGAGCAAATTGCAGAAAAGTAGTTATAATATTGCACAGTTTTTGCAAAAATAAATCACTGGTGTTTGTGTAGTGTGTATACGTATATGAAATCTCCCAGGCCTGTTTAGGGAGAGAAATCCCTACCTCAATGGGCTGTTGTGAGTTTTAGTGCTGCACCCACAGCACCTGGAACAGTGCCTAATACATATGAGCACTCAGTAAATGTTGGTTATGACACTACTGTTCTACCCATGCTTTGTTGTTTTCATAAATCTTGAAGAACACACATCAAATTGTCCATAAGAAATATCTCTGATGAGTATGACCAAAGGTTGGGTATGTGGGGAGAAGCATCTGAATTATTTTTTTTTTACAATGAGCATATGTCAAATTTATAATTTTTTTTAAAGTGTGGAAAATAAATGTATTTTTAAAACTCTCCAAATTAAGAAGCCAAGCCACCTCAGTGAAGAAAAAGCCATCAAGGTGAACAGGCATCAATATGGATGGAATTTGCCCATTTAGCTCAGAAGCCTACATCATACCATTAATAAAAGCTAAACTAAGAGACAAGGACGAGCCACCAGGCCTTTGCCCGCCTCGTTTAGTCCAAAGAGGAGACTGCAGACTAAGGCAGTGAATCATTTGTGTGTCTGGTGAAATGCAGAAACAAGAACACAGAACTCTGGGTTTCCAGTCCACTGTGGGGAATGTGGGACGTCTGTTCCTGGTCCCTTCTTAATCCCAGAATGTTCTTCCTGCAGCATAGTCAGCTGCATGTACTTGTCAGGAGGATCCTACTCTAGGGACTTCTCCCACAAGGGATTATCAGGCAGTGCCCCAACCCCCAGGCACATCCACACCCTGCTAGGTGTATAATGCCATCTCGACCTTTGTCTCTCCAGAGCTGCCCTGGAGGTTCATGCCTGCCTGATTCCAGGTGTATGAGTGTGAGTGAAGGTGGAGGCAGGAACTTCAGAGAGCTTGACCCAGCCATCCCTGCAAGGGATAGCCCTGGTCTGGGCACACTCCTGGAGTAAGGAGGTAATGAGAAAGGATTATAGACTGTTCTTGAGCATCACATCCTGGGCTGAATTTAGTGCAGTCCTTCAGTCTTCCTGGGGAAGAAACCAGAACCTAGATGTGGGGAGAGTTCACCTGGGCTCCCCAGTCCAAGCATCTCCTAGATCCACTGCCTGCCCACCCCCCCAATACCTTTTCTGTTCTTGCATGAGTTTCTAGGAGGACATCTGAAAGGTGTCACCTTTCAGGGCGTGTCAACTTAATGATTGCCTCGGGCCTCCAGAATGCACCTCAGGGAGCATGAAGGACATAGACTATTCAGAAAGAAATCAGAATCACAGCTGGTGAGATATGCAGTGAATGTGCAGGGTCAAACACACACATCTTTACTTGAAGCTGTTGACATGTTAGCATGGATTACAGAAAGGCCTTCATAATTACACAGACAGTGAATAACTTTCATGTCTCGTTGAATTCTTGCTCAGACTCATTGTTATGGGCATTATTTCATCATATTCTTAAATATTTTCTAAATAGAACTGAGATATAGAAGCCTATCTTCCCCTATGCCAGATAAAACTGGGTTGCTTCTGTTTGCAGTCTCTTTTGTATGTGTTTTTTGTTTATAATTTTAGACTGGGAACACAAATGATGCAACTTGTTCTAATGATATACACACCAAGAATGAATCAGCCATGAGCGTGGTCATAGAGGTTTTATGAGTAAAGCTCATAGTTTTTCAGATAGGGGTTCTATGATGTTGACTTGGGGTCCTCGGTTATCTTGATAGTGGTGTTGGTGGCATTGGTTGTTTGCTTGCCTCTTGGTTCTCAAGTAGGTTCTGAATAGGTGAGACCGACCACCAGAAAAATGTCTGGGAGTGAAGTAATATTTCTCCAAGAAAAATAAAAGAACAATTACCTCTCACACTGGGCGGTGACAAAGGAGTCCAAGAAGGAAAGACATCATGGTGGAGTGTGGTGCTAACCATAACTGACATTCCCTGACCCCACTGAATCCTGCCACACCCCTATAAAACCTGGCCCATCACCTGCTTGCTTTGGGATGGGGAAACTAAGGCACAGAGAAGCTAAATAACTTACGCAAGGCCTTGGCTAGAATGTAACAGAGCCAGAATTTAAAGCAGATAGGTTGGCTCTAGAGGCCCAGGCCTAACTAACCACCCTGGAAGCTTCCTGGACGGCAGCTAGAGCCTTGGAAGAGGTTCATACTTAGGGCTATGATGCCGAGGAGCCAGCACGAAGCACACTTGCAAGTGAAGACAGGGAACGTATGGAATGACTCACTTTTTCATACATCTCTGATTCAATAATAGCCATTTATCTTCTGGGCCTGTTGCCCAGAAGTCCACACCTTATGTTCCAGGAACCAGGGGAATTCTGTGGAGGCTTCTGTCATGACTGACTAGCCTGTTTTAAAGTCCTCATTTTAGATGGCCATCTGGCTCCAAATTGCCTTCCAATTAACAAGCAATTAATGCATTAAGCTAGTCCTCTGGATGGGAGCTGAGGAATTAAGAATCCTAGACTTTGCAAACCTTATCATCAAGTGGGACTAATGCAAACATATACATAGATAACCACAAGGCAAGTCAAATGATCTAAATCCTGTATTAAAGTATAAATTCAGAGTTACATAAAGAAAAAGATTTAAAGATGAATTCTACCTTCTCTGGGAAAACTTCACAGGAAGAGTGAATGGGGGTGGGGAGAAATTGGGTAGAATTTTATATCTGGAAGAATAAATAGAATTCACTTGATCTTTAAGAACAGGCCAACCCTGACTAGCACAGTCATCAGAATGAAATTGGCAAGACTAAAGAAGCTCTCAAGGGTACATAAAATGCCTTAATAACTATGCAATTCAAGACCTTTGAATTGTCACTATCAGCACTTTTTGAGCACCTCATGGGTTCAGGGCACTGTGCTACGCACTGGTGATATTAACAGGAGTAAAATATGTTCCCTCAGGGAGGAGATAGTCCAATTAAGGATATAGGTATAAAAATTGCTTAGAACTAAAAAATTCCCTTACTGAATTGAAATACATGTTGACATAAAATCTTGTACATGATTCTTCCAAGCAGAATAACTCTTAAGAGCCAAAAAGTGAAACTGTCCATCAATTGATTTACAGATAAATAAAATGTGATGCAAACAGTGGAATTCTTGTTAAACTATAAAAGCAGACGAAGTGTAAATGATACAAGCTACCACATGGATGAAACTTGAAAACATGACACAAAATGAAAGAAGCCAGACACAAAAGACCATGTTTTGTAGGATTCTGTTTACATGAAATGTCCACAATAGACAGATTCATAGACAGGCCGTGGTTGCCAAGGAATGGGGGAGGGCAGGGAGATGGACAATGATGCTAGCGGGTACAGGGTTGCTTTCTAGAGTGGGGACATGTCTGGAAATTAGCCAGTGGTGATGGTTTTACGACTCTGTGGATATTAAAAACCACTGATTCACTTATTCTGTGCTGCTACCCAAGGACACTGTCTTGGTTGGCCATTTTGCAGTTACCACTTCCCACTGC